CCCAAGAAAACCCCAAACCATCTCCGTCTTTGTTTCGCTATATACAATGAGCGCTGCACGCTAGGGTTTTTGTTTCCCACATTATCTACTGCTCATTTCCCTTCGCTCTTCACTCTACCTTCTTACTCTCGCTCGCCTCTTTCTCGCAGTTGGCAGAGGTAATTTCTGCTTTCTAGATTCCATTCTTGCCCTACTCTTCTACTAGCTGATGCCAATTTTGTTTTCCTTAATTGTTCGATCTAATTTTAGTCAATGTTTCGGCCGTATGTGTGTGTGTGTGTGTGTGTGTGTGTGTGTTCATTTCTGAGCATCTCTTGCTTTGAATTATGGAGCATCCTCATTGGATCCTGCTTTGTGGGTATTTCTTTGTTTTGAGATTTTTCTTAATCTTGTTTTCTTGTCTGAAAACCTCGATTACGCCGTGAATTGTGTTTTCCAGCTTCTGATTGTTTGGTAGTTCGTCTTAGTTGACTTACAGTTAATCGGCATAACTGTAGCTGAATTTTGAATCTTTTAAGGGAGTTTGTGTACTCTTCCTTGTTGGATGCTACTTTATTTCTTTTGCTTAAACCACCTGCTTATCCCCCTCATTTATTCATTCTGTGCATTTTTTTTTTTTAAGGTTGTTTGATGGCTGTGCATAGAACAACAGTTATTTATTTAAGTCGTCCCTGTAAAATTGATTGGGTCACTGATGGAGACGAGCTCGCAATAGCTTTCTTGGAGGAGTATGACCGAATCCCGGCTCTAACTTAATTACTTACTTACATAATCAATCTTAAGTTAGAGCCGGGATTCGGTCATATTTCTCCAAGAAAGCTATTGCGAGCTGTCTCCATCAGTCACTAAACAAAAGGTTACATTTTGTTTAGTGACCCAATTCATATAATGCTAGAGCTTTTGTTGTTTGGTTGATTCGTACTTCAAATTTGTTAGATAGTTTATCTTTCTAGGTTATATTGGGAAGTTATGTTGAACAATTTACTGTCCATCTTAGTCTTTTCATCTGTGAGAAAGAGTGAAATCACCCTTTCTATTTTTCTACTGCTAAACATTCAAGGGTCAGTGCAGTTTTATTGTAGAGTTACAGTCCTGATTGTTTTTGTTCGATTGCAGATGAATGTGGAAAAACTACAGAAGATGGCCGGCTCGGTCCGCACTGGTGGAAAGGGTACCATGAGAAGGTCTTTATTTGATGGCTGATTATTTTTTCTGTCCTTGTAATATTGGTAAATAACGTATGCTAGGTTTTCAAATGAAAGTATGTATTGCAGAAGAGAAGTACTCTTAATAAGTGGAATATGTTATGTTGAAAACTGTACTATAGACTATTACTACATCTTTTGCTTCTCAAATGATTTGTTCATTGGGTTGCAGAAAGAAGAAGGCTGTGCACAAGACTACCACGACTGATGATAAAAGGCTCCAGAGCACCTTGAAGAGAATAGGGGTGAATGCCATACCTGCAATTGAGGAAGTTAATATTTTCAAGGATGATGCAGTTATCCAGTTTGTTAACCCTAAAGGTACCATTTTTGATACTTGAATTGCAACTTCCTTTCGATTGTTTGTTTGTACTTAATTTGAGTGTTTTTTTTTTTTGGGTTTTTATTTCCAGTTCAAGCGTCTATTGCTGCCAACACCTGGGTTGTTAGTGGTACTCCTCAGAACAAGAGTAAGTATTGATCGATCAACTCCCAGTGGCCTCCAAATTGCTAACATTGTCGATGGATATATCAGTTCTAATTGGAATCTGATATTTTTTTTTCTTGCACAACTTCTAAGGGTGTGTTTGCTTATAAATTTATCCAAAATTCATACTCAGTTCATACTCAAAATCTTACTCAATTTTAACCCAACTTTATATCTTCAATATTATTAATATAATTAAATAATATCAAACAATCATTCTTATGCATAACATCAATTTCAATTCATTATTCATTCACAAATAATTGTAAATAACCATCACAATTCACATACTCTCTCTCCTACTTTTAGATCAAATAAAAGTTAGTTTATTTTATATATTATTTTAATTTGATCTCAAAATTCCACCAACAATTAATTAATCATACCAACTTTTTTCAAAATTAACTCTGATTAACAAAAAAAATCATTTTGAGCGAATATATTTGCATACAAGCTCAATTATTTTACTTTTTACTATTGAATTCAGTATAAGGTCAAGTTCATTTTACTTTATCATCGAATAACAGTTGTGTTTTTTGTTATTTCAATTGCATTGAACCATTTTGGTTTGATATCGGCGTTTCAAATGTATTTGATTTTTGGCATTTCATTGTATTTCCATGTTAACTTAATATATTAATGCGTTGTTTTGTTTGTTTTGCAGAGCTGACAGATATTCTTCCTTCCATCATTCATCAATTGGGTACGTCTAATTTTCTCTCATTTTTTATAATTGTTCTATTCCAATTCTACTGAAATCTTATGTGATTAAAATCTCACAGGTCCGGATAACTTAGAAAATTTGAAGAAACTAGCGGAACAATTCCAGAAGCAGGGTCCGGCTGCAGGTGGTGCCGCTTCTGGTGTAAGTGGGCCACAAGCAGATGATGATGATGATGAGGTGCCTGAGCTTGTTGCTGGTGAGACCTTTGAAGCTGCTGCGGATGAAGGCAATACTCAAAAAGCATCTTAACTAGCTCTTTTTATTTGTACCAATGCTTATATTTTTCAAGTGTTCTGAAAATCTTGAATTTGACTTTGAACATGTAACAAATGATGGTGTTATTTGCTTCTCGTTGGTTATTTCTTTGTTCACGATGGCCTTTTGTGCTTTTATATCTGTTAGTGATGATGGTCTTGGGCATAGTCTTCTTGAAACCTGTTTTATTATATAGACATGGCCACGGTTTGGATTGGCCATGTCTTAACCTTTTTTTTACAACTAGTTAAGTACTTTTTAATATACAAAAAATATCAAGTTCTTTTGATGTATGACCACAAAGAAAATATGTGATATCTACAATGGTGATCAATTGTGGTCGGTACCATTGTTTACCGACGTCCCGGGTGTCTTTGATGAATATACTAATGAGGAGGTGGAACACTTGTTTCAAACTTTAGAAGATATCAACAAGGGTGACTTGAATGCCGCTACGCAAGCTCAACTGGTGGTCGGGGTTTCGGGTCGACATTTGGTATTCGATATATTCACAAGACACTTCATGAAGGTGTCAATTTGAGTAAGGCTTCGAAGGCGTCTATATGTATTTGGTACGGATGTCTGCTCGACAATCAGAAGAGGTACGCTTACAAAATTTCAACGAGCTTATTTGAAAAGATACCCAAAAAAAACATATGAGATAAACTCGAGCTTTGTAAAAAAAGCTCGCCATAACAAACGAATCTTATTCCACAAGAAGTTTATAAGCTAACCAAATAAGCTTTAAGCTGACTTATTTGGTTACCAAACATAACCTGAATCTTGTAATGTGTATATTATGTCAAACTCTAAGTTATCCATAATATTTGTGTAGCATAGTTCATATCCAAATACAACTAGATTGTTTGCATGTTATTTTCACAATTGTGCATTTTTTAACATCTCCCCATCACAGTACATTTCATTTGGAGAGAATGGTGAAGAAAATATTTGAGAGAATAATGAAACATTTGAAAAGTATAAATTGACATAGTAAGAAAGTAGAGAATTATAATGAATCTTTTTAAGGAGAATAAAAATATGTATCTTATTAATGCATATAAATGGAAATATAAGGATAAATATTGATGAGACGTGACAATAATAACATTAACATTAAAGAGTAAGATTTCATTTATGGATTGTTCATTCTCATGTTTACAATAACATCATTCTTGTGTTTCATTCTTGTTCATTAAAGAGTAAGAGTAATAATAACATCACCAATTACTATTCCTAATTCCCCAAACGAACCTCACCTTTTTTATTCTATAGCTTTAGAGTCACATTTTCGACGCTTTTACTTTTGTGTTTACAATGACAACTCATTCAGATTCCAAGAAAACCTATAAATACTAAGCAAAAAAAAAAAAAAAAAAAAGAAAGACGAAGGTAGATACTTGAAGTACCTTACAGTTAATTACCATCAGAGGTTGATTCTTTGAACCTTCAACGGTACAGTTTTCTCAAGAACCGAGACATTAATGTTATTCCAATTATCCGGCTTTGTGGGAAGTCGAGCGATTTTTTCGGCAATCACCATATCCTCGGGAAGCACAGAACCGAACACAGTGTACGAATTCTTCCACTCCTCATGGTTTGCAAGGCTTATGAAGAATTCCGGGCCTGACCCAACCCACGCCACCGAACCCCTTCTTATGGTCGGGCAGTGCTCAGATTTTATACTCTCAAAAGCCTGTCCCTGTGCTTCTAGCGTTCCTTGAATAAGTGCAAACGGAGGCCCAAATGAAGTCTGAAAATGAAAAGAAGAAAAACAGGGAGCAATCTAACAATTCTCAATGGGAACCGAATACTTGTAAGAGAAATTATTGAAAATATCACATTGTGTTAGTAATCGGCAAAAATACATTTTCAGTTCTATTAGTATAACATTATAGCAATTTTAGTCCAATGTTCCAACTTTTCGCCTTTTGATCATGTGATTTAATATTTTGCTGCAATTTCAGCCATATGAATTGCAACGGAATTTTAAATTACAGGACTAAAATTGCAATAAAATTTTAAATTACAGGACTTAAATTGGTAATAAAAAAATCCATCCCAAAGATGTAAATTGGGAATTTGTTGCAATTTCAGTCCTCAAATGACTGAAATTGCCGCAAAATATTAATATACAGAACCAAAAGGCGAAATTTTAAAATCTTGGGACTAAAATTGCTATGACGTTACGTTAAACCAGTATGACTAAAAATGCAATTTAGCCTTTAGCAATTATTTCTCAGTTCTGCTAGGCATGTGCACATGCCAATATGATGCTTACAAAATTCAAGGTAATCATGAAAGCAAAGTACAGTTTAACCACACTTGGTTAAAATGAAGTGACAGTGAATTCTCTTTTATATGATATGGAGCTTAAATAAATGGAAAAAGTAGAAATATACTAGAGATACTTAGACTTACATCTTTTATGTGATTTCCTTTAACGTCCCAGAATTGGCCTCGCCCTTCTGCCCGATAAAAATGGCAACCTGCACAGTGGCGCAAAGACAACAACTCCAGGATATATGCAACTGAGCGCGGTGCACAATCAGGAAATAACTGAAAATTTGCCCCCAAAAAAAAAAGAAATAAATAATCAGAAACCAAAATAAATCAGCCAAGAAATGAAGATACACATGCACTAGAATTGAAACATTTCCACGCAGACAAATTCATATCAAGATAAATCTGGTCTCGTGAGAATAATTGTATTTGTAACACGTAAAAACGAGACAAAGCCATACCTTGATGTGAAGAGTGCCATACTCCGTCACTAACCCAACAATGCCCTTGAAGGAGAAGAAATGGAATAAGTTTATTATTACTGCAAGTTATTAGAAAGAATAATACAAAACCAAACTCCACAAAAAACTTACTCCTAAAAAAACCAAAGATATAACAGTATCGAAGACAATTATAACGGTAGCAACTATCAATAAATTGAACTGCAATGCATGCTCCATATAACACGACGAACTAAAATGCAAGGTAATACAAAATGCTGTTTGGTGTCATAAGAAACTGAAATAAGACCAATATACCTCTCCTCGACCAAAAACGATGCCAGATGTCCACATCACTGTCTTCCCTACTGTCTGCTTCTCGGGAGCCAGCACATCCTTCTGTTTCTTCAACCAGCACTAACAAACACACATTGTAGACAGTGGAGTTAATTATATTTCCATATACACACAAAAGATAAGATCAAGTTACATGGCAAACACCACCAGCAATCAAGTGTATATGCAGACGATACTGCAGAAAAACTCATTTTCCATCAAATTACAGAGGACAAACAAAGAAGTCATTTAAAGAACATTGGATGCCATAACTTGTGTCAGATACAAGCAACTAAACCGAAGAACATCAAAAATCTAAATTACCCTTAGCTCTACAACAATGTAGCCATATACAGCGGCGACCATCACGACAGATTAGTATATAATCTGCCCACTATTTCACATCTATCAGCAACACACCCACAGGCCACAGTCAGAAATTCAATCAAGAATTACCAAACTCACTAACCTCACCAAATCTCTCCCCACAAACTTCCTTATTCCCGCAAAAAACCCAAGAATCACAGAGGCACGGGCCCTGGTTCCCAGTGCACATCTCCTTACAAGCTTGACAGCACTGTTGAGACGAATTCAACTTGAATTCGGAGCCCCATTTGACAGCATCACCCCACAGCTCCAAATTCTCAATCCCTTTACAGCAATCACCATCGCCAGTCGAAATCCCATTTCCCAAAGGCCCAATCCCTGAATTGAGCGGTGGTGGTCTTAATACGGAGGAGATGAAGATGTAAACCGCCGTGAAAGAGACCAAACCCATCAACAGAAGAATTAGGGAACCCCACCTCGTGGGCTCCGATTCACTCCCCTTACGCCCCATCGAAATCAAAACCCTAATTAAAACCCAGAATCAATTCAAGCAGATGATTAATTTGTTCGCAATTGTCCCATCAATTGATTATTCCTGCATCGATTTTAATGGAAGCATATTCGTTGACTTATGGATTTCTCTCATTTTTTTTTATTTTTTTTTTTTCTCACATTCATTTTGGTGTGGTTGGAGCCTATTGTAGGTCCGTCAAAAGACATATGTAGCCTTTAAACATTTGTCTACATTTGATATTTTGTCAATGGATAAAATCATAAATGATGTTAAAAGTGATACACATAAATAATATAAATAATAGTACATGTTATGATTTTATTCTTATTCACATTATATCACTTTTAAAGGGCTCGTTCTTGCTATGAAGTCATCGGATTGTTATTCACATTTATATTTGTTGTTATTAGATGATTAACATTTTGGATTGAGTTGAAAATTTTGGAGTTAAAATAAAGGAACTTTAATTTATTATTTCTAAATTCATATATAAATCAATATAGGAAAATTGGTTAACAGTTGAAACAATTACTAGTATGTAACCCGTGCGATGCACGGACTGTATTTACTTTGGAAAATATTAAAAATTAAAATGCATTAATAAATAAAAGCGTGATAATTCGTAGGAAAATTATCAAACCATAAAATGTTTCTCATGAAAAAAAAAATATATTATTTAAACTTTCTTGTACACCACATTATTTGTTTAATAACTGAGCAACTCGTCGTCCCCACAAACTAATATATTCAACACTTTTCTATTATTTGTACGCGAAACAAACAACATAATTGTCCGTGACTAAAAATGAATTTCTTTAACATGTCAACGTATAATAAATGTTGACCTTGACGAAACTCCATTTGTCACCAATCTATTGCTAATCCAAATATTCAGTTGGAATGAATTTTCCATTGAAATTTCCGTTGGATTTTGACGATTCCAACGGTGGATTTTTCAACGGGGTAGAAATAAAAATTCCAACAGAATTTGCATATTCAAACGGAAATTCCTACGGTAAAAACACCATTGGAAACATAGCAGTTGAAAACATCAAATTTCTAAGATTGACACTAACTCTTGTTTATCGCCATGACAATATAAATGAATATTTATCTAAATAACTTAATCTTTGAAATGTAGTGATCATGTGTTATTTTTAATTTCGTGATTGATGGACTCTTTTATTAATTAGTTGGTTTGAATCAATATATAACAAATTTTGTTGTCAATCGTTATTAGAGTTTTTAAATTAATTTGTGTAAATGCATCAATAAAAAGAGACCTAAACTATGAAAATTTTTCCATCTTTTGAAATTAAATAAATGGCAAACACTATATTTTAAAATAAATAATGATAATAATTATAACATTGTTTTATCAAAACTGATAAGGTATATAAAATTCGTTTTCCTTTTCATATCGATAATGAAGAAAAAAGTCTAATTTGTGAAAAGATGATATATATACAAATCATGATTTTAGAAATCTGACATGCATACAAATCTTACCATGCAGAAAATTTAATAATATAATAATAAGCTGAATGAATTATGATTTAGATTCATGCAAAGAAAATTTTGAACAGATTTCTAAAATCATGATATATACAAATCATGATTTTCCTTTGATATTTATTCAAATTTTCAAATTATTTGGAAATCACGATTTCTAAAATCATGATTTATTCGAATTTACATTCGAATTTCCAAATTGTTTGGAAAAATAGAAGATTTATTCGGATTTTGATTCCTTATTGTTTATCAATATAAAAGTATTTGATGTTATTAATAAAAAAAAAATCTGATTAGGAGATAATTAATGAAAATAGCGGGAAATTATTTTAAATTCGATTTATGTTAATCCTTATCATATAGGATTAACATATATGTTAACATATAAGTAATATATATGTTACTTTCACATAAATACTAATATATATATATATATATATATATAAATTATTTCTAACAATTATTAGAAATATGATTGATTCTTAAAAAGAAAATTTAATTAAAAATTATTAATTAAATGTTTTATATTGTATTTTAAAAGTTTTTAAAAATACGTATGGTAAGTGTATTTCTTAAATTAAATGAATTAAGTATGGTAAGTGTATTTCTTAGATTTATTTTAATTTTGATTCTATATTTGTTATTGTAATCCTAAAAAAAATTAGATAAAAAAGGTATGTTAATAGATAGAGATTTTGTTAATTTACTATATTTATGCAATAATTAATGAAATTGGCGGGAAATTATTTCTAAAAATGAATTATGTTAATCCTTATTATATATTAATAGATTAGCTAAACGTGAAAAAATTTTAGTTGACCCGCATTTTTGGGACTGCATTTAATAGGTAAACGTGAAAAAAAAAAGAACTTACTATTAATGGAAAACAATTAATGAAGAAACAGGTTTGACCAAAATTTAGTTGCTATTTTTAAAAAATGGTAAATCTGTTTATATATATAGATTTGGTCCATAGTAGGGTTGCAAACGAGCTGAGCCGAGTCGAACATTGACCTTATCAAGCAAGATCGATTTTTTTTTTTTTTTGTGCTGCTCGAGCTCGAGCTCGAGCTTGTCGAGCCATGATTTACGAGGCTCGTCGACTCGAGAGAGGAAAAAGATTGCTCGAGCTCGGCTCGAGACAGATCGAATTCTCAGCGCTTGAAAATTGCTTGAGTTCGACTCGAACAAAAGCTCGAGTTCGACTCGAAAAATTGCTCGAACTTACAGGTTTAGTCCATAGAACCTAATTTCGAAAATTAATTATAACATGTGAATTATTTTGGATAAATGATTGAAAAATAATTATTTTTAATTCTTAACTAGTTATCTGTTATTACTTATTAATTAAAAAAGTTATATAATAAATTTTCAAATGACTAATAAGATCAACTATCCATTCGTTGTCAGCTAAAACTAGTGTGTATCCCGTGCGATGCACGGAGGATCTCATACTTTAAACCTTTTTTAGACTTAATGAATTAATTAAAATTTAATTAAATAGAAGTTTTTCAAGGAAGAATGAACAGGGTTCTATAAAAAAAGAAGGCCAAATATAATTGTTTATATTTTTTACATCTCATCTCATTACAGAATTAAAATAAATAAAAACAATGAAAAATTATATATTATTAAACACTTCTCTTTATACAATATATTTTATTTAATAAATATTATTGGACCTATTTATTTTGATTTTTTAAATTAATTAACTAATCTATGATTGTTATGTGCATAAAGTAATGGAACGAATCCAAACTTTAAAGTAGAGCTATTTTTTTCTTCTTTAACAAATTAAAACCATCCAATATTTCTTTTAAGCAATTTCATATTGCAATTTCAAAAAACTGCTTTAGGTGGGATGAACGAAAATTTTCAAAATTGAAAACACGTTATTTGGTTTAAATAAAGATTATTCAGATATTTAAAAAGCTTGATAAATATTGTAATTAGCATGCAATAAACACAAAAGTGGGAAAAAAACGATCTCCAAAAATATAACTAATGAAAATCCTATAAGTCCAAATCATGTCCAAAACACATGAACAAAAAAAAAAAAAAAACATGATTTCTCCTCAATCAACTTTTGTGCACTAAGACTATATTTATCCACAACCCAATTCAACCCAACCTATTAATAAAAAAAATATTTCTCTCTCCTCCATCTACACAACCCAACTTTTAACAATCTACATATCTTTATCTTCAACTCAACCAAACTCAACCCAACATAAGACTATATTTATCCACAACCCATCCCAACCCAACCCAACCTAACTCAATAATAAAAAATTATTTCTCTCTTTTCCACCGACACAATCTAACTTTTAACAACTTACATATCTTTATCTCAAACCCAACCTAACTCAACCTAACATAATATTTATTTTATTTTTATTTATTTTTTATTAAATATTATCTAAAATAAATTTTTTGTTATTGTTTTAGTTGTGATATGATAAAATAAAAGATATGATAAAATTGATAAGTTACGATTAAGAAAAAAGAGTGAAAAGAGAGAAATTACAATTATGTTCCAAAATATATTAAGAGTGGTCTCTATTTATAGACAATGGAAAAATAAATTTTTATTTATTTTTTTCATATAAATTAATATCAATAATTTGAGTTACGGTTATCTTATTATAAAAAAAATTTATAGACCAATAAGAATGGGACACTTGCCCCATTCCATTCACCTCATTTCTCTCTCCCTCCTTGTGGTTAGGTTGCGACCCAGGGTCACAATTTGACCTGTGTCGATTGTTTTTTAGTTGGTGACCAAATAAAGATAGTATGATATTTATTTTATTTTTATTTATTTATTTAATAAATATTATCTACAATATATTTTTTGGTATTGTTTTATCTACAACCTAACCCAACATAATAATTTCAATTGTGTTCCAAAACATATCAGAGTGGTCTCTATTTATAAAGTATGAAAAAATATGAATTTTGATATTTTTTATTTTATTTTCTAATATAAAATAATATGAATAATTTGAGTTATACTTATCTTATCATATAAAATTTATAGTGGACCAATGAAAATGAGACAAGTGTCACATTCTTATTGTATAGAAGTTAAATAATATAGAATCTCCAAAAATCTTAATGTGATCTTTTTATTTAGATTTTTTAATTTATTTTTTTTTCAAAAAACATCACACGCGGGAGAATTCAAAATTTTCGAAAAAAAGTTACCACAAATAGTATAAAACGAAAAAATGAGCGGGAAAATGATTTATTAATTATGCATTTTTCCTTAGCCCTTTTATATAATAATAGATTAATGTTGGGCAAACCTAACGATTAGACAACAGGACTTTGAAGCGTATATTTATTCATTCAAACTTAAAATATCAGCTTTAAAATTTGAAATAAATAAAAATATGGTCATAATATAAATATGAATTTTTGCTAAAAAAATATGATTAAAATCTTACACATAAGAATAAGAATTTGTGCCCAATAATAGGGGC